GTTGGAAATAGAAATACCTTATGATCAAGAAATTCCTCTACTTGATATTTACCCACAAGAAATATGAGCCATAAAACAAGTAGATACATGCACACCAATGTTCACAGCAGCACTATTTACAATAGCAAAAAGATGGAGACAGCCTAAGTGCCCATCAATCGAAGAATGGATAAACAAACTGTGGTACATACACATAATGTAATACTATGCTACCTTGAAGAACAACAAGGAAACTGCAAGCTACCGCATAACATGGTTGAAGCTTAGGACATTATACTGAGTGAAATTAGTCAGTCACAAAAGGAGAAATACTGCATAGGAGCATTATTGTAGAAGAGTAAGAAGAAGAACACACACTAAAAGGGAAAAAATTATATATATTTGCTGATCACCAGGATGTATGGGACAAGAGGAGGGGAGGGAGGGAAGGGAATATAGAGCACAGGGTAAGGAATAGACACAGGATAGCTTGCGTGCAGGGGGAGGGCAGCAAGGGCAATACACAAGAATGGGATGCGAATGGGAGAACAAGGCTGATGGGAGAACAGTTAAGCAGGTTCACATGGGCTAACTGGGACAGGTAAATGATGATGTATGCACAACCTTGAAACAACAGGACTCTGGGATACAGGGATTGAGGCACGGTTTGAAGAGGTAAAATAGGGAAACAGTGTTAAGATGCTTGGCTGTCTTTTGAATGTTGGTTTCCCTTGCTTACCTATTATAAAACAGACACTTGGTGGGGTGTGTGTGAAAGGAATAGCCAGAATCATCACTACAGAAAGCTTGTAAGTCCATCTTCAGCCTATAACTGATTGGAATACCTTAAAGGGGGCTAGAAGTTGCCCAGTCAAAGAGGCTTCCTGTGGAGCCTTTACACTGCACAAGACCACTGCACAAGGTGAAATCCAAAAACCTATCCAGAACTGACTGAGGTAGGAAATTTCCACTGAAAAGGACGAGTAGACCAGCGTGCAGTATCTATAAGAACAGAAGATACTTTGGGAAAGAAAGACTGGAAGGAAACGTCTGAAAAAATAATGGCGGTCTGATTGATTACTACAAGAACAAGTAAGCTGTTTGCCCAAGAGCAATCAAGGCAAGTGGTGGGGACCCCTCAGAGCAAACCCCCTTCTAAGACTGAGACTCAAGGGGAACACATGAGCAGGCATGCAGACTGGATGGTGACCACGATGGTCACTGATAAGGGAAGAGGAGGAAAAAACAGCAATGAAGTTGTGAGCTAAGCCCGACCACATTCAACAGACCCCTGTGAACCCGGGTGGAGACCTAGAAGGCCAGCTGTATGGCAAGACCTGGGGACTCCTGGACCCAGAGGCACTGACATGGCCACAGAGGACTAGAGTGAAGAGTGAAGAGTCCAGCTGATATGAAGTAAGGGGAGATGCACAAGAACACCCATACTTGCAGATTGTACCCACTTGACAAGGCTTTGATGGCTAGAT